CTATATTATTCGAACAAAGCCCATTCTGGGCAGGTTTCCTGTGCACTTGGTACTGGAACAAAACACTGCTTCCTTGGTGTTTGCTGAGGCCACCTCACTCTTGGTGAGCTTTGTTCTGGTACTGCTGTATTAAATATCTTGTCCTGAAAGTATTGATCACAATCTACCGTAGCAGTGGTTCTTGACCCTGGGCGTTCATTAGAGTCAACTAAAGAAGTTTTATGAAATTATCAAGACCTGGGTACCGGACCAATTAAATCATACTCTTTGGAGGTAGGCCCTGGGAGAAAGTATTTTCTAAAAATACTTTCTTCCTCGGTGATTGTAATGTACAGTCATTTATCTAACACATCCTGTGGCAAGGGATGCCGAAACAGTGAAAGCAAAGCTACTTCCTTTGCTGGTCTATTGAGCAAGAGAAATTTCAAGGGACAAGACTGATAACTGAAAGGTCTATTTTTTTTTTTTTTAAGATTTTATTTACTTTTGAAAGAGAGAGAGAGAGCGCACACAAGTTGGGGGGAGGGGCAGAGGGAGAAGCTCTGAGCCTGATGTGGGACTTGATCCCAGGATCCTGGGATCATGACCTGAGCTGAAGGCAGATGCTTAACCAACTAAGCCACCCAGGCGCCCTGAAAGGTCTATTAATGTTTACTTAGGCTTTAAGGATTTTCCATCCTTGGGAAACCACACAGTGATACCAATTCCACAACTGAAGACTTTTAGATGGTACTAAGGTGAGAAAAAATTCCACATGCCTACCAAATATCTAGTGGTTGGCCCCAGAAGGCTACATTATAAACCAGTTTGATAGCTCTTCTGATGAAAAGGCTGAGGAAATAGCTCTAGTTAGTGAGATACAAAAGTGGAATATTTCACCAACCCTAGGCAGGTTAGGCATCAGGTGAAATTCTATGGGATGCTCCAGAACACTGCCAGCATAAGCAGAGTACCATGAGAGCCTCCAGATTATGAGGGGGGAGGCAGTCTCTACATTTCTGGGCTGGAGAAGACAACCCCCCCACCCCCCAACACAGTTCTTTGGCTCAGCTCTATGCCCTTGAGTGAACCGCATAACCCCTGGGCTTCTCTGTCAACTTTAAACTTAAAAGACTAGACCAGATAATCTCTAAAATCCTGTGAATCTACACAGGATTCCTGGACATCAGAGGGCAGCATTTGAGGAGGAAAAAGTAGAACTGTCCTACCCACTTTTCCAGGTACTTTACTCCTATTGAGCTTTGTTCAAAGTGCGCCTTAACCTACTTAGATTCGTTTTGTATGGAGATGTTGCAGAAAAATGAGCTAGGTCAGAGCCCGAATCTGGGTTAGCTATAAATGCGACACAGAATTGTCAGCTGCGTGAAATGGTGCTGCAGCTCAAACACCATTATCCCACACATCAGTGCAAGGAAGCTCAAGCTGAAATGTGAAAATATTCTCAGCAAGGGGGCTCAAGAAACTGGGAAAGGCCACCAGAGGAGGCCTTTGGGAGGGAGGGCCAGCTCGGAGGAATTCTGGATATCTTCTCAGGGGCTCTTCATGGTTTGGGAAGACCTTAGGTTAGTAACTCCCCATCTGCAACACAGAATAAACCATATGTGGCACAACCTAGCTTCTGAAGAGGGCTGAAATCATATGAAAAGCTTTTTTGTAGCTTTCTAGTGGGGCACTCCAGACTCACCAAATAAGTCTCTCTTCTCCCTTGCCCTTGTAATACTTTTTGTATTGCCTGTAATATGCAAAGGACAGTATAAAATGGATGGAAAGGTATTCAGACAAGCTTAGGAGGAAAAAGGGCCAAGTGCTATCCACAAAGTCTGTTATTCCAGTGGCTACCAAAGGGTAGATTAGCCAGCATCAGAATCTCCTGGGATGTTACGAAAAAACAGACTTGGGCCCCACTGAGGGGTGGAAGTTTCAGGAAATAAGTTTGGAGAAGAAAATGGGCCCCTGTGCTGTGTGTGTTTGTTTTTAAACTTCCTACCTTGTTCTTAGGGACAGCCTGGTCTGGGAACCACGATTTGGAGCCACTCCCATGAAGGATATAGTTCTCTGATTTCTTACCGAGATCCGGCTTGCCTGTGTAGAGCTTTTCATAGAGAAAGGTGTGGTCTCGGAAGCTCTGCAGTGTGTTCCCTATGGCTATGATGGACACCATAACCAGCCAGCTTCGTAACACATTCAAGAAACGGCTCATGACTTCCTTCCAACCTGAGACGGTTTTTGCCTTGGGAACAAAGGCCAAAAACAGGAGACAGCAGTTAGCTTACTTCAACCATAAGCTCTCTGACTTGGGTAGTTAACTTGTGTCCCACTCCCGAGGGCTATACTAAGCTTATCTGGGCAATCCCTTCATGAATTCCTTTCCAAGTCCCTGAAGTTGGCCCACCTTCAGTTATCTTAACGTACTATTCTTACTTCACAGGGTTAGCACACTGCCTGGATATTTGCCCTAAACCAAAGGGTGCTAACATTTACCTAGAGTGAAAAAGGCTAAATAATGCAGTGGCTAGAAATGGAAAAGCCAGCCAAAAATAATGGAGAAAAAAAGGGAACAAAGAGAAGGTGTATGAATATTACGATCAGGTAATAAAATGGACTTCTGTGTAAGACTTAGAGAAATTGGTCTTGATATTTAGTCACACTAGTAGTGGTGAATCAACAGTATACTTTGGCACAGTACTTATTTTTCTCTAAGCAACTTGTCCACAATGGTAGCCTAAATCAGAACCCTTTTCTCTTGGCTGGAATCAGTACTTTAATATCTTTACTTCTAGCCTAGTTTTTTTTTATGTCATTCCCTTGTGATCCAAGTGGCTCAAGGTGACTGTAAATCTACTAACAGATACTTGCCTGGCTACTGATGACACTTTCAAGCCTTATACATTTGAGTGGAATCTATGGAGTGAGAGCAATATTTATACTCTCAGGTATTCTCTACTCTGGTTCTCAAGAAATTCATGCTCCATAAACTAGAACAATATAAAAGTTAAAAGTAAATAAACTGCTGTGACTTGAGAAGTAGCATGAAAATTATGTGGAGAAGGAGCCAACAATGTTGGCGTTGGGTTGCAAAAGAAATTACGATAGCTAACAGGTATCGGGCACTCGTACATGTCATACACTGTGCCAAGCACCTCACATAAATTATCTCATTTAATCCTTTAAACAAGGTGGATAGGCAATATTACTATTTCCATTTGACAGATGAGGGTTGGCACAGAGAAATTAAGTGATTTGCTTGAGGTTACACAGCTAACACATGGCGGAGCTGAGATACAAACGATGTTCTGCAATACTGTCCCACTGTCTGAGAATATTTTGATGAAGTTTCTATTTTTAAGGAAGACAAGCACACTATATCCACTTCTGTCTTGAAGTTGTATACAAAATACAATTACATTATGTACTTTTTGTTTTTAAAAAAGCTTAGGTGGACCCTTGAAGGGCAATGATTTCAATCAACTTGATTTTCTTAAAGATTTTACTTATTTATTTGAGAGAGAAAGACAAAGAGAGAGAGAGAGGGCGGGAGAGGGAGAGGGAGAGGGAGAAGCAGACTCCCCACCGAGCACAGCCAGATGCGGGGCTCGATCCCAGGACCCTGAGATCATGACCTGAGCTTAAGGCAGACACTTAACCAACTGAGCCACCCGGGAGCCCCTCAATCAATTTGATTTAAATAAAACTCATGTAGATAAAGGATTTAATAATAGAACTACTTCTTATCATCTTCACTGTAGTGTTGTAGTTTGTTTTTTGGGTTTGTTTTTTTTTTTGGTTGTCTTTTGTTTTCCCCCACAGTATCTGTTGTCGGGTTGACTTCTTGGGCCTGAAGTGGTGATAAACCATCAGGCTTCCTTTGTCACTCCGACAGAAGTTTCAGTTTGGTCTTATGCTACCCAGCTGAAATAAATATTAAAGTTAGCCATGGCCTAAGACATGTGAAGCGCTAAAAAGAAAAGAAAACAAAACAACCAAAAAAGAGCTCTAGAGGAGGAAGCGGAATCCCTCGGGGAATGGTTAGGTCACAACAATGGACTTCACTGAAGTCCAGAGAGAATAAAGATTTACTGGAGATCAGAAGTGGTCAGGGCATGGGCCAAGACCCCCCCCCCGCCCCCATCCTCCTTATTTTTCCCATTTCTCAATAGGTGACTCAGGCTTTCTCCTCCCAGAGTCAGAAAAGCCATATGGATGGCTCCCCTCTTTGAGAGAACTTATGCCCATTTCATGGAAGCTCTTAGAAATCCAACAGATAGCTGATGAGGGCAGAGCTTGAGCACTCTTCCTAACTGCTCTACCAAATCCCTCAACCCCATTTCCCTAAAGCTTTAGGGCCTCCTGAAGTATCTAACATCTATTCTCAAATTTTGTCCTGGCCTGGCCCTGCAAAGGTGTTAAAACTAGTCAGGAGGGATGTTCCTATCCTTCCACAATCATTTTGTAGCTGTACGACCCTGGGTGAGAAATCTGCAAAATGGAGCTTTAAAAATACCTATCTCAAGGGATACTGTGAGAATTACATGAAAGTGAAAAGGTTCCTTGCCCTGTGCTAGGCTCCTAGTGGCTGGTCATTCGTTCATTCATTCAGTGGTTCCCCGAACCTACCAAGCCTTCTTCATTTTCATAGTCCCAGCTCCCCCTTCTCAAGGTCTCTCAAGCCCCCTGTTCCCCCAAAAGGTTGCTTCCAGGGATCTTCCTTACCTCTCACCTCCATTTTTCCAGACTGTCCCTATCCTCTCAGAAGCGACAAAAACGCCTCCCTCCCTCTTCTCCCCCACACTCTCCGTACCTGGCGACCGGACCCCCAGCACAGCGGCAGCGGCAGCAGCAAAGCCCCAAAGCAGATGCAGCGAGTAGTCCACCTGAGCCATTTGTCCTCGCCCCCGCCCACAGCCCGGCTCCAGGATTGGGTCTTCTCCGTCAGTCCTCGCTCGGATTGGCTGCTCCGGTTTTGCTCGAGCAGGAGATGGGGCGTGAACCCATTTACTGCCAATCAGTGGTTGCCGCTGCCCAAGCTTCACCCCGGGTGCCGCTGCCCAAGCTTCACCCCGGGTACCGCCGCACACGCAGTGAACCCTCTTGTTGAGCGTGTCGGAAGAACTCCGGGGCTGGAGTCAACCCTTTAGGAGTGGAGGGAAAAAGAGCGGAAAAAAGAAGTCTAGACTTCTGCTGAGAGCAAAGCTCTGCGCCCGCGCTGCGCGGCGGTGACGACATTCCTCCGCGCCCGAAGCCGAGCGTTGTCAGCGCGGGGTGGCGGGCGCCTGCGCAGTGGCTCCGAGCGGGCGGTTGCTTGTTGGTTGTTGTAGTAACGGGGGAAGCAGCCGTCGGCGGCGGCGGTGAGCCCGGCTGGGGAAGGAGGAGGGAGGTAGGCGCAGAGCGCGGTCCCCGCCGGCCCGCCCGGAGCCATGGGAAGATGAGACAGGTAAACGCCTGCGCCGGCGCGCTCCCCTACGCGAGGGAGGGTGAGCTCCTGTGTCTGGGCGGGCGCCGGCCGCTACACTTCCCTCTCGGAGTCCGGGAGTAGCTGTTGGCTTCCGGGCGCGCTGGGCTGAATCGCTGCTGCGGAGTGGTCCCTGTCCTTTACTTGGGGAGCATCTGAGGACCTACCTGGGATTGGGGTGAGCCGGGGGTGGGGCCTAGGGGCTGATCCCTTTAGGGCGAGGACGCTTCTTGGGCGAGTGTCCTTAATCTTCTTCCGATCTCCGTGTCTAGCAGCCTGGGACAGGTTTGGCATCTCTTCCTCGCTTGGAGGTTTTGCTTGTTTTGTTTTAATTTAAAGGACTTCCCAACATTTTGGGACAGATCGAGAAATCCCGTTGGGAATCCTCGGAAGAACGCCTTTGAAGTTATTAGATATTGCCCATTCCTTTGAAGCTCTGTAGGGATCATTATCGGGATCGGCGGTTTTTTGTCCTGTGTACGATCTTACATATTTTTTTTTATTAAAGATTTTATTTATTTATTTGAGAGAGAGAGAATGAGAGACAGAGAGCACGAGAGGGAAGAAGGCAGAGGGAGAAGCAGACCCCCTGCTGAGCAGGGAGCCCGATGTGGGACTCGATCCCGGGACTCCAGGATCATGACCTGAGCCGAAAGCAGTCGCTTAACCAACTGAGCCACCCAGGCGCCCCCATCTTACATATTTTGAATGCATAGCAAAATAAGATTTGCAAAGATAGACATCAGATGGTTATCTCTGAGTAATAGGATTATGGTCATTTAAACATGTTCATTTTCTTTATCTGTAATTTCGATTTCATCCTTAAACACACAACGGACTTGTACTTTTTACATATGCAAAAATATTTTAAGTTAGAAATATCCCAATTTTAATGCCTATTTGAGATTCAAATCATAATTTGTGATTTTTAGTAAGGGAGAATAATTTCTGAGAGTGGAAGGACAGTGTTTTTCTTTTTTTGTTTTTTTGTTTTTTTTTTCAGCTATTTATCACCTTGATTCAGGAGAATATATTAATCTTTTAGTTTAGTGGTTGAATTTGTTTTAGTGAAATATGAAGGCATTTCAGCTGTGTGCTTGTCCTAGTGCCTAAAGAAATATTTTCAGGAGTCGTAAATCTTGAGTTTTTATTTTTAACCCAGGTCAAGCCTTTATAGCGAGGAGTCTATGTTTTAGTCAATCAGCCACCTACCTCAGACTTCCCAGAAGCTAATTCTTGTTAGGTTTAGTGTATAAAAGAAAAATGAGAAGCTCAAACTTAATAACAGCTCTGTAAGTACATGGAGGACAGACAGTATGTTTGAAAAAAACCTTGATTTTTGTGGTGTGAGGCACTGTGATAGAAGGTAAGCTTCTAGACGTTGGACACCATTTAGGTAAACATTCATATTTGTTACTTGAAAAATCAATAGCAATAATCAACAGATAGAAAATGCCATTGTGTTTCAAATCATTTGGCTTTCTTGCAGGAATCAGTGCCACCTAAATTGTTTGATCCAGTGAATCTGCAGGGAAAGGTCTCTGAGGCCACCGTCTGCTGACTGCATGACAAACCCTAAAGGAAATGCCAGTCGTGATGGCCCGGGACCTGGAAGAAACAGCATCATCCTCAGAGGATGAGGAGGTGGTAAGCCAAGAGTAAGTAAGAGCGAGCCTGCTTTTGACTTTTTGCCTTTAGTGTAGAAAATAATTCTCTTTTACTTATACCTTCTTTTCCGCACTCCTTCCTTTGGTGCAGTCTGACTCTGGTTTTAGTTTCTATCCATGATCTAATCCAAGATTTTATGAATTGGTCACCTTCAGCTATCTGAAATGAGAGAAGCCTCTGTTTCTGAGCTCATGAGTGAACATTGGCTCTAGATACTGCTTTGTGAACTCTTGATTGGCGCTCCTAACATAGGAGATTTTTAAATTTGTAGATATTAAAGCCAAGGAGGTCTCCAAACTCTATGAGATAGGTTATGTTATTTTCTCAAAAGCCTTTACAATGATAGAATGATAGTATATAGAGAGGTCAAGTAACTTACCAGAGTAACTGGGGGACAGTACATTAGAATTCTTTAACCTGTGCTGTGCCATTGAACCACATTGCTTTCCTGGGTTGTTTTAGTAAGAGTCAAGTTTCTTGATTTCTGGATTCTCATAACAATAAAAATGAACAGTGGTAATAAGTACAGCTTATCATTTAGCATAGATGATGGTAAGGGCTTTAACTTGATGTAGCTCATTTAATCTGAAAATGTTATTCTCACTTTAGTAAGCTCAGCCTCACAAAGATCAAAGAACTTTTTTAGAGACTCAGAGATAGTAAGTGATGGATTGAGATTGAGACCTAGTTTTCATGGATTTTGAGGCACTTTACTATTTTGCCTCCTTTAACATTATTACTTGACACAGAGAACAAAGAGAGAGTCTGACTTAAAGTTAAGATTAGTTTTTAAGATTCTCTGTGAGTCCCCTTGGATATGTGTGTGCAATGTAACCTGAAAAGTGGGGATAGTATCTCCCAGGCTGTTCTGTAGGGGTATGGTTAGGATCAAAAGAATGGTAAGTATGAAATTACTTTATAAATGATGAAGTACCATACAAATGTTACGGCATTATTCTTACTGGCTTTAATATTGAATTTAAAGTGCATTTCTTATTATAAAGTAGAAGATTACATTATTTAATGTAACTAGAAAAAATTACTGAAGCATTCATAAAGCTTTGGGAAGGGCTTCTCATCACTCTTAGGTCATAGAAAATAAAAGATTTGACATTATATTTGGGTCAGTCTTATTCAGGATAATTAAATGGATAATTCCCTCTGGTCACTTTATCTTCTTGTGACTTTTTGCTTTCTGTGTGCTGTGTCTTACCTATTTCACAAAATTTTTAACTTCTGCGAGCGTCAGTCTAATTTCAAGATCATTCTTTTACTTCGTGACTACGTATTAGTGGGCTTATGAGTTGGGTCTGATGAGTATTAGGTTGAACTCTATGAAATTGCTGTTTTAGTAGGTTAAAAATAGTCAAATATTGACAATTTCAGATTTTCAACCTAATACTGCAGTGGGTACTTGGTAAATACTTGCCAACTGAGTGACCAACTGAATGAATGAATAAATGGAGACTTTATGCTTTAGATCACCTTAGAGCAGGGGTTCTTAACTTTCTTTATGCCATATATTCCTTATCAGAATAATATTTTTAGGTGCTTAAAATACATATCATTGCGAATAGTACCAATTACATTGAAACACAGTTATTAAGATGTAAAAAAACCCACACTTGTGATATAGTAATATGTGCTTTTTAATTAGTGTATTAAACCACAAGATTATTCATCTAAAGCATGGGAAAGTTAAATTTTATTTTCTAAAGGCAGCAGCATGAAGATTGTTTTTGCTGTTTGCATAAGCTCATCACCCTGTGGGGTAGTCTTTTTTTTTTTTTTTGCTTTTAAGATTTATCTATCCATTTTAAAGAAAGGGGGGAGCGGAGGGAGAGGGAGAGAGAGTCTCAAGCAGATGAGACTATGCTGAATGCGGAGCCTGACTCGGGACTCGATCTTACCACCCTGAGACCACTACTTGAGCCGAAACCAAGAGTTGGACGCTCAACCGACTGTGCCACCCAGGCGCCCCGACCCTGTGGGGGTAGTCTCTGATTAGCACTTATAAGTGGGGAATATTGGGAAGCATCATAGGTGTCTGGACCACCACTTGGCATTCACCATTTGGCTGCTGAATGATTGCTTAGGAGGAGAGCTGCCAAATTGTTGTCCAGCCTCATCACGCCAGATGAGGAAGATTGTGACCACAGGTGATCTAGTGGCAAGTTTAATAGCTACCATTAACTTAGAAGTAGTGGTAAATGTAAATGATATTTTGAGATATCTGCAACAACTGTAATATGGTGTAAAAAATCTGTAGTTTCAGACAGACTCAAAGGCACAGATAATGCGTTGTTGCCTATATTCATAATTGAGAAATGGCTAAATTTCTAGTAGAAGTTACTGAACTTAGAGGTGTAATTCCCTACTCCAATCCAAACTCATGGATTTTTTTACCCTTCCTTTCAGACTCCTGTTGACTTTTGACTGTTAATGTTCCATCGGCTCCTGTCTTGTCTATCAGACACTTAGTATATACATTAGTAATCTTAAGTCTATCTTGTTTACACTTGGAGTAATATGCTTACATTTTTAAAGTTTTGGAAGTTATAAGGCCTTAAATCATCTAAGGATGTTGATGTGATCCAAAGATGTATATCCATGGGCATCTGCTAGATCTGCTCAGATCCCAAGGCTGTATTCAAGTGTTAATGCCCGGCAGTCCTGGACTTCAGGGCTAGAAACTGTCCAGGAAATCCTTGTTTTGCACTGCATTATTTCAAATACTAAATTTAAAAGGGCTCTTTTTCTATATTTTGCTAGTGGATCCCAAATACAAATTTATATATAGATGTGGAAAGATTTGATACAAGGTTTATTCAGGCCCTAAAAAACTAATTTCAATTCCTATCATAAAAGTCAGCTTTATAGCAGTTCATGAACATATACATGGGGAAAAAAAGGTAATCAACAAATGATTATACAGTGAGCACTACAGGAGTTCAGAGACGGAAGGCATCATCACTGTGGGCTGGAGGAGCTGGGGGAAGGCTCCATGGGGGTGGTGAGATGTCCTGGGCCTAAGTGTGGGATCAAATGGGCGGAAGTGGGGAAAGCATTTCCAGCAGGGGCATTGGTATGAATTAGGCCTCGAAGCTTTGAGTTATGTAGGCTAGGTCCCAGGAGTGAATGATATATATATGCCTCATGAAATTGCTTCTTAAGAACCAAAACGTTGTTAGGCTTTCATTAAAGTGAACCTTAAAACTGTTCTACTTTGGTAATCAAGCATCCAAGTCTTGAGTTCGTTCACGCCTATAAGAGCATATTTTTAAAAATATATACCAGTTTCTGGTGTGAATGAAAATTTAAAGTCCCAATTTTCAGTTTCCTCACCATTTTGAATCTTTTGCCTTTAGCACCCCCTGGTGGGAGCATGCTTTTAATGACAACGTAGCATCTGCCTTAAGTGTGTTTTAGTTGACCATACTGAATTCATAATGTGTCTACCACCTCTTTTATCTTTTCGTAGGTTGTAGGTGGAAGGATTTCTCTGGCAGGGATTTGGCTTTCCACAAATAGCATAGCTAGGGCCTTGGCTCTTCTCAGCCGTATATCTGTTTATTGTGTTCCTGACCCTTATCAGGCGTTTTAACTTGTAAGCAGTAATCCATTGTTTGTAAGTGGGAAGGCGCAGTGGTGCCAGTTTGTAGCTAGTGCTAGATTGACAAGGAACTTGGGATAATTTCCAGAGTTTCTGTCCAAGACTTTGCAGTTTAGGCTGCCTATTTTTTCTCTACCCTCTGACCTAGAAATATAGTGGGAAAATTATAGTTGGAAAAGATCCTAGGAATTTTCTGGACTCCTGCCCACATTTTACAGGTGTTTAAGATTAAAAAGCAAGCAAACCATGAAAAAATATCCTTCTTGCTAAAAAGTGCCCCTGATGAATACCTTTTCTCACAAATGGGCACCCTTACCCACGTCAAAAAGCAGGAACAGTAGTAAGCATCCACATTCCAGTTCTAGAAAACAGGAAATGAACTAGGTATAGTGTTCTTTGCTTTTCCTCACTAAAATACTTCGGCAGCTCATCCCAGGTCTCAAGGCTGCCTCACTTCTCAGATTGGTAGCCTGGAAGCCTGTGCATTCAAAACGGGGATCTTTTTAAACTTGGGTTGAGGGGGTCTCACTAGGCCCTGAGATTGGTAGTATGACCTTTTTTTAAGGGATGTGGTCATGTGAGTTTTTGAGAGCAGCCCAAATTTTGGCTAACTGGATCTTATTCTGTTTAAAGAATTGATTAGTATAGGTTCCCAAAGGGTTGGGTTTAAGGTGTTCTGTATACAAAACATCACTGAAATGTGATTAGGGAGATGGAAGGGTAGAAAGAGCGCAGGCAGGCACTTGGGTTCAGATACCTGTTCCCTTACTTAACCAGATCTATGATCTTGAGCGAATCACTTATCCTCTCTGAGACACCTTTTTTTTAGTTCATAGTGTGGGCAAGAGGATTAAGTGAGATAACACGTGAAAGCTCTTACTTTAATTCCTGGCACATAGTAGGGTCTCAGGTCGTCTCTTTCCCTTCTGACTCCCTGGCACTAAGGAGGTTGAAGATTTTCCTAATCTGTGAGTAAGTACACATCTGTCTAAGATTGATTAAACAGAGATTTCCTGAGGGTAGGGTAAGAGAGTAAAGTCAGAGGTCCTTTTCTGGAGAAAAATTGTTCCATTTAGTATAGGCTTGCTTTAAAATATGTGGTTTTAATTGGAGCACTTGTATTAACTTGTATTAATTTTGGGTTCCTAGCTCAGAATCTTAGGATGGGTTATCAAATTGGCTTAAAAAGGGACAATGGGGTGTAAAAGGGTGTATAAATTATTGTGAATGTGATATATTAGTTAGGATTCTTTATGTCTGCTGGGGGTTAAAACATAACTTGTCCTAAATAATAAAGGGAATTTTAAATTTTTTTTTTTTAAAGATTTTATTTATTTATTTGAGAGAGAGACAATGAGAGACAGAGAGCACGAGAGGGAAGAGGGTCAGAGGGAGAAGCAGACCCCCCGCTGAGCAGGGAGCCCGATGCGGGACTCGATCCCAGGACTCCAGGATCATGACCCGAGCCGAAGGCAGTCGCTTAACCAACTGAGCCACCCAGGCGCCCGGGAATTTTAAATTTTTATTTTAAATTTTATTTTAAAGATTTTTTTCCCACTGTCCCCCATAAAGGGAATTTATTAACTCCTATTTAGGAAAGGCTTGATTCTGCAACTCCACATTTGCCTCTCAGGATCTCATTTTTCTCATTCTTCCAGTGGGGTTCCCACTGACTTCCTCCTTTACCTGTAGTTCCAGGCTTTCCTTTCAAGGTCACAAAATGACAGTTGAACTTACATACCTCATTCTCTTATACCATCCAGGGGAAGAGGCCATCTCTCCTGTTGCTGCTATAGAAGAGAAAGAAAGCACCTCTTTCTCAGTGGGTCTCACAACATATCTTCTGACACTCACTGGCTACATTGCTCATTCCTGATCCACCAACTAGAACTGAGGGGTGGAAGGCCCCAATTGGCTGAGGCCAATCAAAGCCCATCCCTGCAGCAGGGATGGAGTTAATCTTAACTAGACCCCATGACTAAGCATGGGAGCTGAATGGTTTCCCATAGGACATTTGGGATTCTTGTTCTAGGAGGAGGGAAAGTTGCTAAGTGGCAAACCACAGTGATCTGCTTCAGTCTTAATTCAGATTCTGAGCTGTCAATTAATAAAAGCCTTTTGTTAACAGCTGTAGGGATCATCCGTGTATCATGTGGACTGGAGGCTGCCGGAGAATTCCAGTTTTGGTGTTCCATGCTGAGGCTATTCTGACAAAGGACAACAATATTCGAGTAATTGGAGGTAGGTGTGGCCTCCCCCATGGCGGGCAGGTCTGGGCATGGCCCCGGTAACCTCGTCTTACAGAAGTTGATATCACATGTAAATAGGAAAAGGGCCTTGGTCATGAGAAAAATCTCATGATTTTTTTTTATACTTCAGGACTATTTGGAATTTCTTAAATTTTTTGCATCTTAAATTGCTTTTCTTTTTTGAATTTTTTCCTTCAGAATTATGTGTGCATGTGTTACTGTTATTTTTTATGATGAAAGACAACAAAATGTACCCTTTTAAACATTTTAGAGTATATACCTAAGTGGAATTTAGTACAAGTCACAGTGTTGTACAATCCACAGCACTGTCTAGTTCCAGAACGTTTTCATCATCCTAAAATAAACCCCATTTCCATTAAGCAGTCACTCCCTATGAGCCCTTACCCTAGCTCATAGTAACTGCTCATCTACTTTCTGTCTCTTTCGATTTGCATGTTCTGGATATTTCATAACAAATGTACTCATACAATATGTAGTCTTTTGTGTCTGGCTTTTTTCACTTAGCATAATGTGTTCAAGGTCCATCCATGTTGTAACATATATCAATACTTCGTTCCTTTTCATGGAGTACCATATTTTGTTTATCCATTCACCAGTTGATTGATTGGTTGCTGTTTGTTTCCACCTTTTGGCTATTGTGAATAGTGCTGCTCTGAAGATTCACATACAAGGTTTTGTTTGAACACCTGTTTTTAATTCTTTTGGGTCTCTACTTAGGAATGGAATTGCTAGGTCTTTTGGTAATTCTATGTTTAGCTTATTACAGAGCTGCCAAGGGATAGAATAGTGACTGCACAATTCTACATTCCCACCAACAATGTAGGAGAGTTCCATTTTCTCCACATCCTCACTGACATTTGTTATTTTCTGTTCTTTAGATTATAGCTCTGCTAGTGGGTGTGAAGTGGTATCTTATTGTGGTTTCGATGTTCATTTCCCTAATGACTGATGACATTGAGCATCTTTTCATGTGCTTCTTGGTTATTTGTATATCTTCTTTAGAGAAATGTCTAGTCAAAGCCTTTGCCTATTTTTTTTTTTTTTAATAGGCTCCACATCCAGCATGGAGCCCAGTGCAGGTTTGAATTCATGATCCTGAGATCAAGACCTGAGTGAGCTAAGATCAAGAGTCGGACGCTTAACTAGCTGAGCCACCCAGGCACCCTGCCTTTATCTGTTTTTGAGTTGGGTTGTTTGACTTTTTGTTGTTGAGTTAGGAGAGTTCTTTATGCATTCTAGATACTAGACTCTTATCAGATATATGATTTCCAAATTCTTTTTCCTATTCTCTGGTTTGTCTTTTTACTCTCTTGATAGTGTTTTCTCATAAGCAAAAGTTTTTCATTTTGATGACTTGCAGTTTATTTCTTCTTTTGTTGCTTATGCTTTTGGTGTCATATCTAAGGAACCATTGCCTAATCTAAGGTCATAATCCTTATGCTTTCTGCTAAGTTTTATAGGTTAAGTGCTTACATTTAGAGCTAAATGGTCTTTGATCCATTTTGAGTTAATTTTTTTATATAGTGTGAGGTAAGGGTCCACCTTCATTCTTTTGCATGTGAATATCCAGTTGTCCTGGCATGATTAGTTGGAGACACTATTCTTTCCCTATTGAATAGTCTCGGCGCTGTCATTGGAAATCAGTTGACTTGGATGTATGGTTTTATTTCTAGATCCTTTTTTTTTTTTTAAATTTTTATTTATTTATTTGACAGAGGGAGAGACAGTGAGAGAGGGAACACAAGCAGGGGGAGTGGGAGAGGGAGAAGCAGGCTTCCCGCTGAGCAGGGAGCCCGATACGGGGCTTGATCCCAGGACCCTGAGATCATGACCCAAGCCAAAGGCAGACGCTTAATGACTGAGCCACCCAGGTGCCCCTTTATTTCTAGACTCTTAATATCCCATTTATCTTTATGTTTATCTTTATATCAGTGCCACATTGTTTTGATTACTATACCTTTGTACTAAGTTTTAAAATTGGGTTGTTGAGTCCTTTAACTTTATTCTCCTTTATCAAGCTTTTTTTGGCTATTTAGGATCCCTTGCAATTCCATATGAATTTTGGGATCAGCTTTTTCATTTGTGCAAAAAGGGTGTTGGGCTTGTGATGGGGAGTATATTGCCGTCTTAGTATTAAGTCTTCCAGTCTGTAAACATGGGATGTTTTGTCATTTATTTAGATCATCTTTAATTTTTTTAGCAATGTTTTTAGTTTTCAGTGTGTAAGTTTTAGAGTTCCTTGGTTAACTTTATTCCTAATTATTTTATTCTCTTTGATGCTACCATAAATGGAATTGTTTTTTCAATTTCATTTTTGGGTTGTTCATTGCCAGTGTGCATAAATACAGCTGATTTTTATATGTTGATCTTGGATCCTGAAACCTTGCTGAACTCATTTATTAGCTTTAATAGTTTGTGTGTGTGTGTGTGTATTCTTTAGCATTGTCTATATATAAGATCATGTCATCTGCATGTAGAGATTTTACTTCTTCCTTTCCAACCTGGATGCCTTTTATTTCTTTTTCTTACCTAATTGCACTGGCTAGAACTTCCAGTACAATGTCAAATAGAAGTGGTAAAAGTGGGCATCTTTCTCTTTCTTGTTTCTGATCTTAGAGGGAAAGCTTTCAGTCTTTCACTGCTCAGTATGATGTTAGCTGTGGGTTTCATAATGCCCTTTATCATGTTCAGGAAGTTTCCTTCTATTCCTTTGGTGTTTTTATCATGCAAGGGTGTTGGATTTTGTTAAATGCTTTGTCTGCATTAGTTGAGATTTTTTTTCTTCATTCTATTAATGTGGTATATTACACTGATTGACCTGTATGTTGAACCATACTTGCATTCCTGAGATAAATCCCACTTGGTCATGGTATAATCCTTTTAATATGCTGCTTGATTTGGTTTGCTGTTATTTTTTTGAGGGTATTTGCATCTGTACTCATAAGGGATTTTGATCTGTAGTTTTCTTGTGATGTCTTTATCTGGATTTGGTATCAGACTAATGCTGGCCTTATATAATGTGTTCCCTCCTCTTCTTTGGAAGAGTTTGAGAAGGATTGGTGTTAATTCTTTAACTGTTTGATAGAATTCACCAGTGAATCCATGTAGTCTGGGCTTTTCTTTATTGGGAGGTTTTTGATTACTGATTCAACTTCTTGTATGTCTGTTCATATTTTGTATTTTGTATTGACACAATTTTGGTAGTTTGTGTGTTTTTAGTTTTTGTCCATTTAATCTAATTTCTTGGCATATAATTATTCTTAGTATTCTTTTATTTATTTGTTTTTCATAGTATTCTTATGTAATCCTTTTTATTTCTGTAAGGTCAGTAGTAATGTCCCGTTTCATTTCTCATTTTAGTAATTTGAATCTTTTCTCTTTTTTTCTTAGTCTAACTAAAAGTTTGTCAATTTTGATCATTTTAAAGAGCCAACTTCTAATTTTGCTTATTTTTTCTGTTGTTTTTTATCCTCAATTTCATTTATCTCTAATCTTCTGTGATATTAAGCAGTGCTCTGAATTCTAGGTTAGCCTGTAGCTATCTTCAGAGGTTACAGTACCATGGATCTGAACTGCTGTGTGATATAGTGGAAAGAGTCTATACGTGGTTTCTCAGTCATTGGTTCAAATCCCAGCTTTGGCATTTACTAGCTGTGAGTCTGGGGCAAATCACTTAAACTCTCTCAACCTGTTTTAGTATTAGTTAGGTGGAGATAATAGCTATTTTGCAGGCATTGTAAGAATTAATGAGATCATTTAATATTTGGCATATAGTGGGCACTCAGAATTTGTGCTATTTACTCTACTTGTTGAATAGGATCTGTTCTACTGTGAAATGACTTTAAGGTCTGTTCTTGCCCCATAATAAGGCAGGAGTTCAGAGGACAGTGAACACCTGCTTCTGGGATTTGAATCCTTCCTCCCCAAGGGTCGTGTTCTAATCCCCTCAGCAAGTTGCTAGGTTACCACTTAAAGGGATATGGTTCATTCATGTTCTCTGAATTTGGAGGAACTGAAGATTTGCTAACATTTGCAAAGAAACTTCCTCTCAATATAATTGGAGTCAAACATCAAAGGTAGGTAAAAACAACAGAAGTAAATAATCTCCCCCAAACATACTTCTTTTGGTCTGCTTGTCACAAAAATGAATCTCTGTATTCCATGCCAATAAGCAGACTTTTTTAGAGTACCTAACATTTATTAGAAATTAGTATCCATCAGTGTTGTCATCCTGTTGTTCAAGCAGTCCCTGTGTTTTTAGAACTTAAGTGTCTTTTTTTTTCCCTTTACACATTCTTGTGATTAAAGAAAAAGCCACTGAACTTTTTTCTCAAACTTTGTGTTTGAATTTTCTGTATCTTTCTGATTCTTTGAGGTTTCATAATTTTCTAGACCCTCCTTTATGAAAAGAACAATTTTTAAAAAAGATTTACTTATTTATTTTAGAGAGAGAGAGAGAGTGCAAATAGGGAAGGGCAGAGGCGGAGAGAGAGAGAGAGAGAGAGAGAGAGAATCTCCAGCAGACTCCCCACTGAGCACAGAGCCTGACGTGGGGCTCTATCCCAGGACCCTGAGATCATGACCTGAGCCAGAGTCAGATGCTTCACCAACTGAGCCATACAGGCGCCCCTGAAAAGAACAATTAGAATGAGTGTTTTCCTAGTTGCTGCCTCAGATTTCTGAATTGTTAAATACTCTGGGTCTTTTTTTTTTTTTTCCCCTCCTCTCTCAAATAGCTGACATACATCTGCTCAGATCATAATCCTGTGTTTAAATCCCCTTGAGAAGTGTTTCTGGGGCATTAGTTATCTTCTGCTGATCTTAGAGCGTTAGATGCCAGCCTTGTTTTTTCTGTTATCTGTTAAATGTTTCATTGAATTTACTGTTAATATTTTTGGTACAGTATGATTTCATATGCTTTATTTGTGAAATATTCCAGAAATATATTTTTTCTTTACTATCTCCATGTTTTCTTCAAAATTGCATACACTTTGAACATGTAAATGGGATTGCATTTTAGAGACAAGAGAGATAATTTCAGTTTAAGGTAATCTGTTCCTAGAAAGAAACATCATTTTATAAATTGCCTCTAAATGTATCAGCTTTGTAAGTTTGCATTTGTGTAGGCTAGCACTGTCCAATAGAAATATGATACAAGCTAGATATGTAAGTTTTCCAGTGGCCTTATTTTAAAAACTTAATAGAAATAGGGACACCTGGTGGCTCAGTCGGGTAAGCATCTGCCTTTGGCTTGGTCATGATCCCAGCATCCTGGGATCAAGTCCTACATCGGGCTCCTTGCTCAGCGGGGAGCCTGCTTCTCCCTCTGCCTCTACCCCTCCCCACTGCTTGCGCTCTCTCTCTCTGACAAATAATAAATAAAATCTTAAAAAAAAATATGTGAAATTAGTTTTAATAATATATTTTATTTAATCCAAAATATCACTTCCACATTTACTCAATATAGAAAAATTCATTAAGATATTTGACATCTAGGGGCACCTGGGTGGCTCAGTCAGTTAAGCATCTGCCTTTGGCTCAGGTCATGATCCTGGGGTCTTGGGATCGAGCCCCACGGAGGGCTCCCTGCTCAGCGGGGAGCCTGCTTCTCCTCTCCCTCTGTCCTTCTCCCCCTCCACCCCCCATGCTCTCGTTCTTGCTCTCTGTCTCTCTCTCAAATACATAAATAAATAAAATCTTAAAAGAAAGATATTTGACATCTAGTATATATTTTACACTATAAGTGTAAAATCTCTGTGGTACAAAATTTTCATCAGAAGTTTTTAATCTGTATTTAGATTTTACAAGTATTGTAGTTGAAAAAGTAAATCCATATGTTCAGGTTGTTCCAAACAAGTTTTCCAAATACTGAATCAAGTGTCAGTCTTCAAATTTAAATTTAAATTAATAAAGTTAAAATTAAAAATTCAGTTCCTTGGTCACACTAGTTAACATTTCTTTCTTTCTTTTTTTTAGAGAAGGAGAGAGAGAGAGAAAGGGAGGTAGGGAGGGAGGGACAGAGGGAAAATCTCAGGCAGGCTCCACATCCAGGGCTGAGCCCCATACAAGGCTGATCTGACGACCCTGACATTATGATATAAACCGAAATCAAGAGTCAGACACTTAACCGACTGAGCCACCCAGGCGCGCCCCACACTAGTTACTCTAGTTACTGACTAGGTGCTTGGTAGTTATACGTGGCTAGCAACTACCATATTCAACAGTACAGGTATAGACCTCATTTTCTGACAGTAAGGCAAAGCTACACTATATTGCCATTGAAAGGGTTATTCTTATATTCTAAAAGTAAAAAAAAAAAGTCCGTTTTATCTTCATTCTAGTTTCCCAGGCTATTTTTGTCCAAACCTCTTAGGGCATGTCATCACTCCCTAGGTGCTTCTGTGCTGACAGAGTATTGGTTTCTTGTTTTAATTTGCTCTGTTGCTGCCAGTCCTGGAATTTGCCAGGAGTTCTAGCACTTTAGGTTGCCTCCTGATGCACACAGGAGTGGTTGGAGAAGAGGAAATTCTGTAGTCTCATGGTAGAATGGATACAGTGCATGTTCAGAGGCTCAGATAGCAGATGTTTGGCAGTTTGCTAGTCGGACCAATACCACGCCCTGCTTCTTGTTTTTATATGGAAGGAAGTACGGATAAGGTGGTTATTTCTTGGGCAGTGGGACTGGTTCAGTTTATAGTTGCAAGCCTCCATTTGACTCTTGCCATGGGAGCAGAGCCCAGGGTTGCCAGGTCTTTCAAGTGAAGCCCAGAAATTGAGATTTTTATATGAATTCTTTCAATTTTAAAAGATTAGCGACTAATTCAGTTTTATGTTTAAAACACCACAAAGAATGAACAAACCATGTCTGCAGGCTGGATTTGGCCCTTGGGTCACCAGTTTATAACTGGTTATCAGCATTATTGGACACAGGGCTGTTGGACACAGAATATGAATGTGAGTTAAAATCCCCAGCAATCACACTTGCTTTATGTCATTCCACCCTGTCTTTCTTGCACTCCCCTTTTGGAACATGCACAATGTATCAGAGTTGGGTTATAGTTAGTTGGTATGGATTAGAAGCTGTTGGTCACTGCTTACTACTTACACACTGTGAGGATTGTGTCACTGAGTGCAGTGATGATTGCATTTTTCTTCTATGTTAGGAAAAGTAGGAGAAAGAGTATTAATAGCATTTTTGTTTTTAAATTTGCTATATAAAATGCATAATTTACGTATGATATTATGTATTAATAGCTATTTCACCACATATTTACTTTTTTTTTTTTTTACAATTTTTAATATTTTTAAAAAATTTTTTACTATGAGCACTGGGTGTTATATGCAACTAATGAATCATTGAGCACTATACCTGAGACTAAGGATGTACTATATGTTGGCTAATTTAAATAAAAAAAGAAAAAAATTTTTACTATGTAGCAACAAGTGTTCTAAAAGTTATATGCATATTAACTGATGTAGTGCTTACAACTACCCCATGAGGTAAGTACCTTTATTATCAACACCATTTGACAAGGGGGGGAAATTGACCATAGAGAAATAATTTACTCACGATTACAGGCAGGAAGTGGTAGAGCCTGGATTTGAGCCCTTGGCAGTTCCACTTATCATTTCCCCTTCCTCCCTAGTCCCCAGCTAATCATTCTCTGTTTTTCTGCATGCTTTAGTGACTCCCTTCCCCAGGGCCTGGTACTGTGAGGCGAGCGTTGCAGAACAGGCGTGGAATCAGGCACACTTCTGGTCTCCAGCATGGATGATGCTTTGGCTTTTACATGTACAGAAATGGATATGTCGGTGATCACAGTTATCATAATGAAGAGACCTGACTTTCTTTCACTTCCTAAACATTCAATCTAAAAAAATTAAAAACCTTTTGACAAGCTCTAAGAATAGTACTTTTCGTTGAATGGATGTATACTCTTTCCCTGTGCTCACCAACTGTTAATGTTTTGTCATGTTTCTTGTCATTTGAGAATTAGTTCAAATACTTTGTACCTTAATGCTTTATTCAGCAGTGTCACCTAAGCACAAGGGCATCCTCTGTATAACCACAGTACTGAGATGACACTCAAAAGGTCTGCCATTGGTAAAATACTCTAGTATATGGTGCTTATGCACATTTCCCCAATTGTTCCAGTTTTGACCTTTATAGCTGTTATTATTTTCTAAAATCTAAGACTAAATCAAAGATTATATATAGTTTTCGTATTTCTCTTCTAATTTCCCAGACTTTGTGTGTGTCTGTGTGTCTTTCATGGCACTGACATTTTTAGAGATTTCAAGACTAGTTGCTTTGCAGATGTCCTTAAGTTTGGGCGTGTCTGATTGTTTCTATGTGTTTAGATTCAGGTTTAAAAATTTTGTAAGACTATCACTTAGTGCAGTTGTGTCCTCAGTGTATCACATTAGGAAGGATGTGATATTATTGTATTGCGTTATTGGTGATGGCAGATTTCTCATTGAGATAATGTTCACCAGATTGCTTCATCGGAGGGGTGCCTTTCTCCTTTGTTACGAGCATTCTCTGGAATGATGTTTGGAGATGCATGAATATTCTGTTTCCCAGTAGTCTCTCACTCATTGGTATCAATTGATTTTAGTCTGAACTAAAATGAACTTTAGTCTGAACTTTTACGATTTTTGTAAAATGCTGATTTTCTTTTTCTTTCCTTCTACATTTATTAGCTGGATTTTCTGTAAATAAGAGCTTTCCCTTCTATAGGAGGCAGAATAATGGTCCTCGCCAAGATGTCTACCTTCTAATCCCCAGAACCTGTGAAAATGTTACCTGACATGGCAATGGAAAATTGAGGTTGTAGGTGGAATTAAGGTTGCTAATCAGCTAACCTTAATCACAAGGGTCCTTTAAAGTAGGAGGAGGCAGGGCACCTGGGTGGCTCATTTGGTTAAGTGTCTGCCTTCTGCTCAGGTCATGATCCTAGGGTCCTGGGATCAAGTCCCCCATCAGGCTCTCTGTTCAGCAGGGGGCCTGCTTCTCCCTCTCCCTGCCGCTCCCCCTGCTTGTGCACGCTCTCTCTCTCTCTGTCAGATAAATAAA